TTACCATATTCTTTTCTTAGGTCTTACCAAATCCCATTCTGACATTTCTGTCTCTAATTACATAAGTTATTCTATTCTAAAATTGCTGACAACTTAATTTCATCTCCATAATGTATATAGCAATACTGACTTTCTTGGAGAAATATGGAAATTTTATGTCAGTTACTGTGTGTAAAGCCCTCAGATCAGCACAGGGCACACAACAAACACTGAGGGAATGATAACTATAAGCACTATTTATTTTCTTATATTTTTAGTTGTGAGCCTAGCCTTGGGAGTCTGGAATCTGTCAACTAATTCTCTCTAAAATGTACATTTTTCCTTTGTTCATAACTTGAGCTCCAATTCGTTTTTAATTGTTCCTTAAGATAAGGAGTGCAAAGATGGGCAGCACTGTCTCCTGCCCCATTTCCTCTCCAACTGATACCAGACTGTACTGCAAGAGAGTAACTTCACAGCCCTTGTGCTCTTATACAAGGACTCCATCTCTGTGTGCGTCAGTTTCTTTACCTACAAGGGCTCACACCAGACTACTGCAGAGGGTAAAAATATTAATAGAAATAAATGCTCAGGATAGTGAAAAACACACAGCCTCAGGGGATACATCAATTTTATAGTAACACGGGAGCCCCCTTGTGGTGATATATTGCTTATGACTTAATAAAGTTTGCCTGAAGATCAGAGAAGCAAAGGAGCCAGTCAGTAGATCTTACCTCTACCAAGGCTGAATTGGAGATCCTGTCTTCCCTGTGACTGGAAACTGAATCTCCCATGAGACTCTTTGATTTTCCTAACATACTCTCTAGTGCTGGGATTAAAGGTGTGAGCTCTGTTTTTCTTTTAGACTGATTCACTCTCCTGTAGTCTAGGGTGGTCTTGAACTCACAGAGATCTATCTGCCTCTGTCTCCTGAGTCCTGGGATTAAAGGTTTGTGCCACCACTGACCAGCTTCTACATCTGTCTAGTGTGATTAGCTTTGCATTCTGGTCCCCAGCAGGATTTATTAAATCATGAACCATCTATCACGATTCTTCCTTTTTTGTCTAAAGACAGAGAGTAGAAGCTTGGAAGTGACATGAATGAAAACCCATCAGAGCTTAGATTGGGGCAAGTTCAAATTAGGACAAGTTCAAATTATACATGAAGAAAAATGGCTTCCTTACTGAAGCTGAACCAATCACATAAGTGTTCACAGGGATTTCACTGACAGACATCAAGTGTCTGACCTCCTGCTACGAGCCGTCTTCCCTTGCTCTTTACCCCAGGCATTTTAAAGTGTATTTATATTCTGCTTTCAGAAGATTTTGTCATTTCACAGAACATTTAGTAGTTTATTTTATTAGGTGTGAGTTATTACACATCCTGGGTTTCAATTACTTTGATTATAAGCTATGTTTTCAGAATGGTTGTAATAGACTATACAGTCCTTGATACTGAGATGACAGATGGCTATAAACTAACATCGGATCAGGGATTCTTGAGTTTAAACACTGGGTATGTCACTGGCTGTGTATGAGTTATAACCCTCTCTACTTTTCTTTCTGTATGTAAAAAGACAATTATCATGTCCAGTACCTGAGAGATCTAGCAAAAACTAGAAAGACATCAAGCATAGTCCCATGCACAGTAGGTTTACAATAAGGAACAACTTCTATCACAAGAAATCTTGGGTTCCTGTCCTTAATATAGGACAATGATACATCTAGCAACCACCATATTTAACTTATTCACTGAATATTTAATATGCTTATAGCAACTATTAAAATGGAAAAGTTCTATGAAGTACAAAGAATTCCATATTTTAATAAATATTTAAAGATCTAACAAAATGTGTAGAGATTGTTTCCACATGGTGTATTTAAGGAAACAGGAAACTCTAAGATGTATAGTTGAGAGAACTTCTGGTCCCCAGAGTTTAGAAGGCAGACAAATGAGATTTTAGATGCTGCATGGCAATTCAGGAAAACAATTTTATTCATATGAGCATGCCATTTGTGGGTAACAGCACAAGACTCAGTGTAGTAGGTATATACAGACACCTGGAAAAGGCAGAATTCCTAAAATTAAGTATTTCAGTTAAAAAAGAAGGGAAAGGTTTATACCCTATGACCTGACACAGTTTATGAAGTAAAGAATAAACCTTGACTGTTATTGCCTAGAGCACTGTACACAGCAACCTCCAAGGAGCTAAGAATTTGGTAAGTAAATTAAGCATCCTTCATTATGGCCTACAAGTGGCAATATGATTACTCTACATCTCAAAGTAAAAGAGACATAGAAATGATAATGAGCGAAAAATAATTGTTAACAGAACTCAGAACTTTCTGAGTCATTCTGCTCTCAGTATAGAATATATACATTTGCCTCTGATGAAGTCAGCAGTTTTGTTTTAGTTTGTGGATAATTAAATGCATATATTTCTGTCTGTATTAATACCATTAATTATCCAACTGTGCCATGATTTTCATACAAAGAGTAAATACAAAATTGCATACATCGGTAGCTGTGTCAGTCAGGGAAATCAGGACGCAGAGGGCAAGAAGGTAGGCAGCCAAGTGGGAAGGCAGCTCAGAGCTGAACACTGGTGGAGGCTCCAGGACTTCCAAATGAGGTGGGTTGCAGTGAGTTCAGAATGAGAAGCAGAGCTCCCTGAGTGAAGAAATCTACTGGTGAAAGAATTACTTCTGTCTCCTGAAGCCCTTTGACTGTAGGAACTGTGGACTATTCCCAGGTCCCCTCCTCCCATGTGTTACAATGGAATTTAAAAGCTACTTCATCTCATATCTGAGAAGTAGAAACATATTTGCAACAAATAAAGAGTTTAACTGAATGTGGTATGCCACACCAGCTCTGCCTGTGTACGTGCTGTTACACTGCCATGAAAACTTCGGCAAGCTTTGCTTTCCTGATAAACTGCCATATTGTCCCTAAGCTTTAGGAGGCAGAAGCAGGCGGTCTCTGAATTCTAGTCCAGCCTGGTCTACAGAGTGAGTTCCAGAGCAGCTAGGGATATAGAGAAATCTTGTTTCAAAACAGTAAATCAAAAAATAAAAGTTAAACAAAACAAACAAAAAGAAGCCTTGATTTTCTTTTGTGTTGGTCAACAACCCTGGGACATGGGGCATGCCTAGGTTGATAAACCCAGTAGCACACTAATGGAGAAAACGGATTTTTCCCGTTGCCAGTAGTTATCAATTGGAAACAACTTCTTGATTAGGGGCAGATCTATGTGCACTTTCTACTTTCAGTGCTGGAACTCTGTCCGGCTTGAAATTGTACAAGTTTTGTTATCTAATTTGTTAAATTCAAGGGCCCAGGATTCATAAATTTTATCATCTATCCAGTGTGTTTTGTGATTACAGGGTAAACATGTCACAATTTTAGTTTCACCAAATCTAAAAAGAAATACTTTGAGGGAAATTTGTTAATTTTTAATTCAGTCACAGATTTGATCTCCAGTGGAAAAAAATGAAGCAGTCATTTCTACTGACCATCTATCAGACATGCACTTCCATTTCTCTGTGTACAAGGCGGAGCTCTAGGCATCCAAAACTTACCCAACTTGAAAACTTCCCTTTTTAGCAAAAGCCATCTGTACGATCATCCCCAAGATCTTCCCACTACTATGAATATGTTCTTGCCACTTTATAGTTCCACTTGTGAAAATGGAATTGGAATCTTTATTATGCATCCAAGAGTTCCCTTCCTAAAGCCTGCTCCCTCGTCTTCTTCCCATTCCTTTAATGGCCTCCAGTGTGCCACAATAAATGAAAGACCCAGAGACAGATATTGAGGTTCAAGCCTCAAGCTGAACATCGGAAAAGCAAAAACAGCTGGTCACTTGCTCTTACCTCTACCTCAGACTTAAAGGCGATCCTGGCTCTAGCAAACCTCAGACTGCAATCCCAGACTGCTATGCTCTCCTCAATGTGGCTGGAGAATCCTGAGCCTCACAAATGAAGACCCTGCTTCCATCTCTTTTTACCTCTCTAGCGCTTTTATGCTGATTCAATCTCGAGTATCCCAGGGTGGCCTTGAACTCACAGAGATCCTTCTGCCTTTGTCTCCTGAGTCCTGGGATTAGAGGTGTGTACCACCACTGCCTGATCTCTATAGCTTGAGGCTGGCTTTGCTTGTTGAACCTCAGGCAAGTTTTAATAAATCATAAATAATACATCACCATATTCCAGGCCTTTCCAAATGTGCTCTAATGCTGCCCCTCTCCCCCTCTCTCAAAGTAGCAAAGCCATCGCCCTCAACCCTTAAGTGACTTCAGAAAAACAATCTCCAAATCTACTCAAAATGGGGAGAGTGTTAAGACTTGCCTTTGTTCCTTTTGAATTACAACCCTATGTCAGTGTCTTGTGTTTGATTTAAGGCTTTATTAATATTGATGCCACTGTTATTCTTATATGTTAATAACTTTTCTATTTCTCAAAGATGCTACCTTGGTGGACGTGGTTTAAGATTTTTGCCATGACCCATGTAATGAAGCTGTATTTTCAGCAGGCAATACATGACATATCAATGTCCATAATTCAAAATATCAATTCATATGTAGCCAATAGGTTTATAAATATGTTTATATTATAAAATTTTATATGTAGATGAAACATACTTGAACAGGAAAATTGATTTTTAAAAAATTGGGTGCGTATGTGTGTCAACACGCACACTGGAACCAGTACATATGTAGGGTGGACAAAAACCTTGATGTCTTAGCAACTCTTCATGGTATGTTTTGGAACAGGTACCTTTACTAGCCTAAAGACTGGCTAGCAGGCTAGGCTAGCTGGATCCCAAACCCCAGAGATTTACCGGCCTCCCCCTCCCCAGCGTTTGGATTTCAAGCCCACATCACCATGTTTGGGTGTTTTATGTTTTAGAAATTGTACAACATTTAGCTCAGCGTGGTTTCATTTTAGACACCAGATTCACCTATTTTCTGTTTGTGCGCTCTAGGTGAGACACCAAGTGTGCACATGTAGCCCTGAGTTACCTCTTCTTTTCTTGCTTCATGTCCTTTCTGAACAAACCAGACGACTTTTGCCTGTAAGGACCGCGGCGTGCACTCCAGTAGAGTACTGTTGCTCTCTATGCCATACGCCAACCTCTCCTCAGTCCTGTCCAAAACGTCTCCTACAACAGAGAGGCAACAGCATCAGCTTCGAGCCTGGAATTTTTATTGCCAAATGTTTCTTTCTTTTAAGCATATTCAGGTCCGGCATCAATGTAAACAACTCTTTCCTGGTTGCTAATTTCTGCTTAGTCGTTTAAATGAATTATTTAGAATGGCGTATGAAAACTTGGGATCTAAACCGGCAAGCAGATGATGAAGTGGGATAGAAAGAGGCATCTGGGAACTTGGCTCCAAAATACAGGCAGTGAGTACAGTGACCAAGTCAGTGGCAATGTTCTCTGATACGACAGGGGCAAGGCATGGGCACCCCATCTGATTTTCCCAGGATTTCCACCTCCCCGTCCCCACCTCCCTACTGCCCCCACCCCCACCCCCCACCACTGCTTTGAAAATTTATCTCTAAACTTCCTAAGATTAAGACCATACTTTCTCTTGTTAAGTAACTGGAGTCCCTTAACTAAATTTGAAGATAACTAATATCAGTTCTAAAATTATTCTGCTGTAGCAGAAGAAACGGTTATTATTTGTTCTAAACCTTAGTAGGTGAGATGATTTAAGTTACATCATACACAGTAAAAAAATAAATTTGAGACAGGCGATGGTAGCACACGCTTTTAATCCCAGCACTCTGAAGGCAGAGTCAGGCAGATCTCTGTGAGCCCAAGGCCAGCCTGGTCTACAGAGGGAGTTCTAGATCTACATAGAGAAACCTTGCCTCAAAAAACAAAAACAAAACAAGAACAAGGAAACAAATAAATTTGAGATGAAGTGGTAGGTCCTGGGAATCACTGCAACCAACCACTGGTAAAATATTGCTTTCTGGTCCTAACCTTCCTCAACCTTATGTCTGATATCAGATAGTGTTAGTGGTGGTATCTGAAGCCAATTTTGCTAGTTCTGTCAATTACCATACATCTGATTTTAAATATATGTGAGAAAAACAGACACAACAGGGACAGTGTTCCAGGAAGTGACTCAGTTAAAGAAATGTGCAGTCCATCTTCATCATACATTAGGTAAATCATAACAATCCAGTTTTCTAAGGATTACCAGCAAACTGTTGTCCAAAGCACTGCTGTGCAGCATTGCCGTGCCGAACGTCCTGCCTGCGGAATCTCCTGGAGAGAAAGAAAATTTAGGAAATCCTGAGACTCCAATTTCCTGGACTTTAATATACAGCCAATTACAAGGAGAAGTCTGTTGTTTCAAAAAAATTATCTGTTATATAAAAGTAGCATAAAATCCAAGCTATACTTTTCTTATATCTAGGGAGTATTTTCAATGGTTAAAAGATCTATATAACACTATGCTTTAAATGTTTACATTAGTTTGAATTCCACATCCTCAAATAGTAATTTAATAAATTTCTCTTTACAGTTTGTTGAACATTTAGTTCAATGAGAAACTTGAAGTCTATAAAGGAATGACAAGTGGCGTGTACAGTTAAGAACAATAGGAAAATTTGTTTGAGTAGAAAACATAGTAAAACGTGTTCGTAATGAAGTGCAATGAGGAATAGATATGTGAATCCAAATATTTTAACTTACTAGAGTCTGGAGTTTCCATTGTTATATTCTTAAGTTCCTTCACTGTCTTGAAAAGTGACAGTGGAATGTCAGTGAGGGTGAGAGTTTTTCTCACACAGGCAAAGCAGGAGTAGAAGATGTTGCCAGTCAAATTTTGGGGTTGTGCACTATATACTGAAGAATACTTAGTATGTTTTGTTTTAAATGGACTGACAATTAGAAAGCCTTATCAAAAGATGCAGAATTTGACAAAATTAGAGTTACAGCTTCCACGTGAATCCTTACTCTGAGCTAGATGGAACAAAACTCATGAGAAAGGCAAAGGTGGGAGGGTTTAGGCTTTGCTTTATACTAGCATGCACAGCTAGTTGGAATGGATACAGGTCAGAGAGTCACTTCAACTGCCAGTGAGGATTCTACCATATAATGAGCATGGCTTCCGTCTCAGATCCTAAGTCTGCTGGACAATGGTGATTGATGGAGCAGAGATCAAAGAGCGTGAGCGAGGAAACTGTTTGCATGTTGTTGGGATTATTATACTAGCCATATGAGGGTAACAGAAGCAGCACCCTAGATCATTCTAGATAAGCAATTTGAGTGGTATATAAATAATTCAAAACTTTGTTCAAAATAAGTGGAAACATGCATTTATGAAAAGTTTACATCTTCCAACAAGCTTCTGGTTCCTGCTAATAGTGCCCCAACACCATTGTCCTTTATGCCCGCATTAAATAATACTCGTGTTATGATCAGGACAAGAACACTTGATCAAAGGAGCCTTGTACTCTTGAAGGATGAATATCTTTCTTATATTTCTTACTTCTTAGACACTTGTAAAGAGGATGCTGGAAATAGACAAAAGGAGAGCCAGGAGGGGAGAAGGAGGCAGCTCATGGACTATAGTGTTTTTGGAAGGTCATTTTAAAGAAGTGACCAGACATGAATTATTGATTTTCCCCTATTAACTCATTTTCACTCAGCAAGCGGAAAAAAGTTTATGTAAATGATGAGCTTTTTTTTCTCCTGCTTTCTATCAGGTCCAAGGCAGAAATGATCACTATAAAAGCAAACTATTTCCTCTCCATGTGCTGACACTTACCCCAAAGCTTCTCTTTCAGGAGAGGTAATAACTGAAATGAATCAGACAGCTCTCTAGGCCCCTGAACTAAGTTAATCCATTTACAAGCATGGCTTTAGACTCTGGCATCTCATCCCTTACTGCTTGCTATTTATCTAAATTTTTCTAAGTTGCTCTTTTAACCCGTTTTTAAAGAATAATGTCAACTTTGTGATTGCATACTTTTAAAAGATACACACCAAATGAAAACATATTAGCTGTGGAAATTGCTTAGTGAAAACAACTTGATGCTGTGTGCCTCATAAAGAACTTGCTAGTTGTATATATATATATATATATACATATATATATATATATATATATATATATATGAACTCCTAAGTGTTTGTTGCAAAATTTGTAAACATTTTTATAATTGTCAATGGCAATTCATCAATAAGCCTTATCACATTGTAAAATGTACTTTTGGGGCAAGACTGGAGATACAGATAAAGGAATGTGGAGAAACATTTGATGGTCTTTGTCTATAGAAGCACACCTTGATTTCAAAAGTTTAAGGAGAGGATAAATCTTTGATGAGACAGGTGTTTTTTTTCCCCTAGGTGTATTTGCTACATAAGATATAGCTTGTTATGGCAACATCTTGTTATAGCTCATAAGTCTCTACATTTTGTGTCAGTTAAAGTAAATTTAAGGAAAAACTTAAAACCCGCGGGTATTGCATCTTTAAAACAATCCCTTCAGATGAGCCCCTGTTCTTGCGTTCAGTGCTGAGTCAGTGAGTAGCTCGGCTCCTCCGGAACACTCTATGCCTTTGCACAATTAATCACCTTAACTGGAGCCTCCCTCAGCTCTGTTGCAAAGTGATGCTCAGCTGTAGAGGATGCAGTAAACCATTACGTACTCTGCACTTGGTCAGTACCCGAAATGCTCAGGGCTGAGCTGCCACCTGAGGCGTTGGTTTCCTGTAGACAAAGGTCTTCACAGCCCAGCCCCGGAGTGTGTGTGTGTAGGTGAGCAAACCTTCCTCAGCATTTAAATAACTGCAGCTATATTCTCCAAGAATGGGTTTGGATACCAATAAGCATTTGTAGAAAGATGAGATGATTTGCTTACTTGCTCAGCGCAATTGATACATTATTTTGCCCACAATTCTCTGAAAGACTCATTTCATCTTTTGCTTGTTATATCCTATCTATAGATCTTCCTTAGAATGTTAACTTGCTAGAGTCAAATTAATAAGGTTTGAATTAATGAAGGCCTTTGTGTTTGTGTGCTTGAGTGTGAGACAGAGGCGGTCATTTTGTGTGATCCTAAAAGGATCAGTATACTGATTTAGACTCAATTTGCTTAAAAATACTTTTTGGAAAAAATAGCCCAAAATTAAATTGGTGTAATTGGAACAAATATCTTTTGTTTGTTTGTTTTTGTTTTTTGTTTTCAAGACAGGGTTTCTCTGTATTATTTTGGAGGCTGTTCTGGAACTCATTCTGTAGACCAGGCTGGCCTTGAACTCACAGAGATCCACCTGCTTCTGCCTCCGGGATGCTGGGATTAAAGGCATGCTCCACCAACACCCGACTCATACAAATATTTTTTCTGAATAAATTTTAGATAGTTCTATGTATTGTTATATATTCCTTGTGAGAACAGCCCACCCTGCTTATTATATATGACTTTTTCTTACTTATTTTCCTAAAATGTGTACAACATTGTATACACATAGCTTGAGTGGGAAAATACCCTTCAAAGTGCTTTGTGATTGATCCTAAACTCCTGCCTAAAGATAGCTTGGGTTTACTTTGCCGTGCAAATGGCAATGCTTTCATAAAGCTATAGACATTAGAGTTCAGAGGTCTCTTGGTACTTTTCATTTGTGTTGAATTAAATCACACATTTCATTAATTACACAGGTCATGTGTTTGCCTAGGACTTAAAGTATTCACTTTCAAATGGTATAAATGAAGACCAGCTGCTGGAGAAGTCATGGGAAACTGCAGGATGTGTTCTAGGATTTATTTATTAATTTTCTTTTTAAGCCTCTGAATCCTCCAATTGTGGTGGCTTGCCATTTCCACTTTTTAAGTTTATCTGAACTTCCTTATGCCTTTCAGGGAAAAAAATCTAAACGAGGCAGAGATTTAATGCAAAGTGAGGTAAAAAGTAAATGTCCAAAAGGGGGTGCTCAGCACTCATCAGTGTACATCATAGAACATCAAAGGCATTTGCAGGAAAATTTCAAGATGTGAATGCTTATGTTTGTGGCCAGAATATGGCTAAGGTAATTTGTTTAGATAAAACAGCTTATTTACATTGAATATGCATAAGAAGGAAAAAAGACCCCCAAACTGATCATTTTTCCAAACTTCCCACCGAGTCTGATGGCTTACCTCTTTGCTTGTGCACCTGTTGGGTAGTACCTGGAGCAGGATATGCCATCCCAGGCACAGTAAGGGTCTCGAGCCAGGCAGCAGTCGGCACAAGCACTGCCATACATGTCGCAGTGATGGAATCTGACCTGTGCCACTGCGGAGGGTGATCCGATGTAGAGCTGTTGCTGCAGGGAACAAGAGGTTGTTAGCAGAGGAGAGTGTGCAGAATTCATTAAGATGGCACCTGTGTTCCTACAGTGATAATATAAAATAGTGACAACCGCTTTCCATCTATAAATCATGTGCTAACATCCTTAAATGATTTGTTTAACACAATAACAGAAAAGACTCAGTCAAGCAAGCAACTTACTCTCTTTGAAGAGATTTCCATAGAAACGATAGGAACTGCATCCTGAAATGAATCAAAATGTATTCTTTTTAGTAAATATAGGAATAGTTGTCTAACAAGAAGTAAACATAGTTATGAATGGTTCTGTGCTTACAGCCTATATTGTTTGCTTTAGTAAATCACCATGTAAATTCAATTCAATTAAAACACACTAATCATTTTCTAATGGAGAAGAATGACTGCACATGGGAGGAACAATGGATGAATCATTTGCACTATTCTTTGTCTCTGGAATAAATAGTAATGACTTTTAATAATACTTGTGATTCACAAACTCTTGTAACTTTAAAATTTACTAAAGTATTTAAACCATTAGAAATAAATTAACTACATTCTAGAATATTTGTTACTCCTACTAAACTTAACGTTTTTAGTTATTTCAAATCAAGCTTGTATGGAAGATATCTCTATTGGAATCGCTATACTGAATACTGTGCAATTTTTGTTCAAGATGAAAAACTTCATTTGCTCAGGGAGAACAATACAGAAAATACATGATACAGCTTTGGGAGCCTTCGGGTTAGGTTAGCAATGCTGTTTAACAGCTGACCTCCTTAATAAGCACGCACACACCCACACACCCACACGTACAAACACAGACACCACACACACATGCATGTGAACACACACACAAACGCATAGACACATACACACAGACACACTCCTAAACACACGTACACACACACTGTTATAACGACCAACTATTTTCTCTCAAAAATTAATCCTCAAACAGTAGCTATTCTCTGTGAGCTCCCCCTGCCTGGTGCTTCTCTACTTGGAGGGTTAGTTTGGAGGACTTGTTTGTGTGTGGGGGGCGTGTGGGCGTGTGCATGCACGTGTGTGTGTGTTGTCTCTGTGTGTGCAAATACTTGTGTGTATGTATGTTGTCTGTGTGTGTGTAAGGGTGTGTTATCATTTTGGACAAGGAAATACTGCACAGGAGAGTGTCGTTCATTTATTCACCCAGGTAGCAATGCTCCTAAAGAGTTAATGTGGAAACATACAGTGGTTGGTGCTGATAATGAGAGCTATTGTCCCAAATGTTTACATATTTCATCATAGAGGCCCACAATGCAAAATAACAAGTGTATCTGCTGCAGTTGAGACAGAAGGGTGGTTTTCCCAGAGAGTAGTGCTAGGGAAATCACTCTCATTGAGGATAGAAAAGACAAATGTCTCATTCTCCATTTATTATTCTTTCCACTGAAATCCATTATATTCATGTATATGGTCAGTCAACCTCATCTGTCTACCTGCTAAATTAGATTTGTAATCCCAATATCAACCCTGAAGTGCATGCCTTTCTTTTTCACAAACGCACAGGAAGAGATCAACAAGGAAACCGAAGTGTGGAATGTACACTCCCCTAGCTAGGTCGGCATGGTGACTCTCTTAATCCTGCAGTCCTGTGTCTGAGTAGGTGGACACTTCATGGACTATTTAGAACCATCTTGCTTCATTTCATTGATAAGCTTTATGATGGTGTTTCAGTGCTTAACGTGTGTCCCAACATGGTGCTGAGCTGAGCTGACCATGTGATCCAGAACATCATGGTGCTGATGTGCTATGAATGTAAGACTTGGGCTCCATTCAGGCAAGAGTTACGATGTTATTGACAGTGAGCTCAGAAATGTGTCATCAGCGATGGAGATTAAGATGCTTTAAACATTAACACACAAAGCAAGGCTGGAAATTGTCCAGATGAAAATATTGTGATCAGAAATTTGCAGGATCCTCTTATGTAGAAATATGAGTCAAGATTGAGGAAGAGGATTCAACGTGGTATCTATTTCACTAATAAGACCTTATGGTACATATTTACTCATTATGTTATAGACACATGTAAATGAATACATATTTACATAACTTTGTTTTATCTTATGATTTGCATATGATTTTCTATTTTTATTTTCCTTCTTCATTTCTTTGTGTAATTAACACATTACAGTTAAACATTGTGTGATCCTCCAACCACAATGTACACTATTTGTAATGTGTCACCTACTGATATAGTTAGTAATTTTTGTTCAAGATGTGAGTCTTCACCAGTTGTTCTGGAATTCACATATGAGATAAGTGCTATTTCTTTATGACCATGGTTGGATATTGACATTTTCTTCTATTACAAGCATGTCGGCGCTTTTGAACACGCTGATCCAGAGAGTTAAGGGCTAGGTTTTACATTATTCTTCACTTCTATATTCTCTCGATTCAAAACACACTTACTAGAGGAAAAAAAGAAATCCGGAAGTTAATATATCATTTTTTCTCTTTGTCTCTAGCTTTGACTGTCTGTGGTAAGTGAATCTGGGCTGTGTCACTCATGAAATTACCTTGAATATCTGAAGTTCCTCTAAAATGACTTCCTCCATCCCCTCGGTTTCTTGATTGTAAATGGTGATTATTTTCAACACAATTCCTCTATCTGTGAAAAAGCACAACAGGTAATAATCAAAGTGGAGTGAGGACCTCGACTTCAAATGAGACTGAAAATATGATGCACAAAAAACTAAATCACTACCATCTACAGATCACACAACTACTTATACACCAGTAGTGTCAATTAACAAAGATTTTAATAAAAATTTCAACCGATATACATCTTCTTTTCCAAATACTTTGGTCAATACAAAAATGAAATCATAGACTAAGAAATCAAATTGCCATATTTTAGAAATTTCTTTTGTGATGCACCAGGCAAGAAGATAACTCTGCCTAAGCCTCATGCAGTGTCAGAATTGTGATATGATTTTAGCCACAAAAGGCACAATTGCTGTTTTGTATCTCTATTGTGGCATTGAATACTGGTGCTACTATATTCTAGGAAAACCCCTACCAGTGGCTTGCATCCCTAGTCCTCTGTATACTATTTTTTCAAATATCTGGCTTTGGGTCAATATATGTTAACATAGGCCGTAACAGATATTTTTTAGTTCCAGATCTTGTCTTATATATTTTTTTTCTTTTAGATCAGTGTTTTTCAGCTGGTGGGTCAGGATCCCATTGTGGTCACATATCAGATATCCCGCATAGCAGGTATTTATATTATGATTTATAACTAGCAAAACTACATTTATGAAATAGCAACAAAATAATTTTATGGCTGTGGGTCACCACAAATGTCATATTACAAAGGTCAACAACTACTGCTTTAGATTATTTTCTCTCAATTTTTAATTTAAGGGAGATTGACTACATCAATGAATTAAGAATTGATACATCAATATTGAATTCTGGAAGATGAACTGGGGAGAATGCTCCATGGGGAAATTGTTCACCATATAACCATGGGGATATGGGCTCAGCCTCAGCACTCTTGTAGCAAACTGGACACAGCAGCACACCTGGAGCCCTTGCACAGGGCATGCAAACACAGAATGATGATACCAGGGGCTTGATGGCCAGCCAAGTCTACCCCATTAAGGGAAGACTAACAGTCGGTTACCAGTAACTCAGGTTCTGTACCTGCCTGTTGCTTTATAAAACTGTACTTCTAGTTTAGATTTCCATGTTACATTTTTGTTATCCCTGATAGTCTGAGTTAGTTCTATCTGCTTATGATTTGCATATGAAATTAATTTATACCCACACAAAACTTAATGAGTAAGAATAATAATTCATAAAATGTGTTAGACCTCTAGAAGTATTAATCTATGAACTTCTGTGAGATTTGAATAATGTATCAAAAAATATAAAATACTATATATCAGTTAATAAAACTAGATTGACCTAATAACAATCACCTCTATTTTCTATTAAGTAAAAAGAATAAAAATTGTTCCATTTTGGAAATTAAACACACAGGTCTGCATGATGACATCAGACAAAAGCAAAAATGTAAGGTGAGTTATTCATCTGGAAGCAGTGATTTTTCAGTAATGACCAAATATAGCATTAGAGCCTGTGCCTGGCAAGTCTTAAGAGAAAACCTATTATTTATTGGCTTTTCCAATGTGCTTATCACACATATCCAATAGCTTAATTTATTTTGGAAGACTGTGGCCCAATATGATAATAGCAATGTGTTAAAGATGATGTAAATGATGTTTCCTGAATTTTCCAAAAGATAAATCAAACAATAAAAAGTTTTTGGAGCGTTAAATATGACTTCTGTTTTCTATGCATTTAAAATAAAATACCTTAATTATTTTTTTTTGGTTTTACGAGACAGGGTTTCTCTGTATTGTTTTGGAGGCTGTCAGTCAAGCCTAGCCTCGAACTCACAGAGATCTGCCTGCCTCTGCCTCCTGAGTGCTGGGATTAAAGGCGTGCGCCACCACCGCCCAGCCACCTTAATGATTTTAATCACATTTCCCTCTTGCGTTTGGAAATTCCTCTGTTTTTAATGGTCAGAAATCAACACGTGTAAACTAGTAATCGGGTCATTTTAGGTTTCTTACAGAGCTCTGATTCTTATATACTATTTAATTCACAGAGCACATTATCAAATGATAAAATGCAGCCTTGCTGTGGGTCTATTATGTTAAGTTAAATGATTCTTTGCTTAAATTTTTCAGAAAACAAAAAGCAGTAGAATGGAGAAGCATGAACAGGTCTTAGCAATTCACTCTCTTCCTGACAATGTCTTGTTAGAAACTCCGTAGGGCAGAGTGTATAAGAATGCTTCCTGAGATCATTGTGCGGCTCGGACTATACTGCACCTGGAGAATGGGATTTTAAACTGCAGCATCATGCAGACTTAGTGTGGTGGCATTAATTGAAGCTATGGATTCTTTTGGTCATTTTATCTTTAGCTGTGTGGAAATGGGCTAGTGGAACCACATGGTATGAGCTGGGTGGTAAAAGTTATCTCAGGGTGAGCTGAAAAGTACCAATGCTTTCTTGTGTCTTTACCTGTCCCAATAAATAAAACATCATACTGGCCATCCTCGGCTTCCACTCGGTCCACTGCTAGTTGCTTCAGGTTATATTTTCCGTCCGTTTTTACTAGTATTGGTTTTTTATGAGCAGGTTTTATGGTCTGATACATTAGTGGGTGAGTTCTTGCAAATCGAATGGCATCGTCAGGGTAGTCTTTGGTGGTTGCATACTTCCCTCCATTCACCTTGCTGGCACACTAAAATGCAAGTGGGTTAGTTCAAGTGATCAGGGATAACAGGAACATATCTAAACATGATAAAGGCAATATACAGTAAGCCAACAGCCAACATCAAACTACATGGAGAGAAACTCAATGAGATTCCTCTGAAATCAGGAACAAGACAAGGCTGTCCACTCTCTCCATATATCTTCAATATTGTACTTGAAGTTCTAGCTATATAAATAGGACAACAAAAGGAGACCAAAGGGATACAAATTGGAAAGAAAGAAATAAAACTTTCACTGTTTGCAGAGGATATAATAGTTTATGTAAGTGATGCAAAAAACTCAAACAGGGAACTACTACAGCTGATAAACACCTTCAGCAAAGTGGCAGTATACAAGATCAACTCAAAGAAATCAGTAGACCTACTATATATAGACAATAGATGTGCTGAGAAAGAAATCAGAGAAGCATCACCCTTCATAATTGTCACAAACAACATAAAGTATCTTGGAGTAACTGTAACCAAACAAGTGAAAGACCTGTATCACAAGAACTTTGAGTCTTTAAAGAAAGAGATCAAAGAAGATACCAGAAATTGGAAAGCTCTCCCATGTTCTTGGATAGGTAGATCAACATAGTAAAAATGGCAATCTTGCCAAAAGCAATCTAAAGATTCAATGCACCTGCCCTGAGTTCCTGCCCTGCATGGACTATGAAATGAATGTGTAAGCAAAGTAAACCCTTTCCTCATCAAGTTGATTATGCTTAGGTGTTCATCATAGCAGTAAGTAATAAATGAGTACAATAGGCAAATGGGCATAAAGAAGCTGGTATTAAAAGTCACGGGACCTCCTGAAACTTAGAAGATTCTGTAAGGCAAAGGACACAGTCAGCAAGACAATAAGGCATCCCACAGAATGGGAAAAGATCTTCACCAACCCCGCATCTGACAGAGGACTGATTTCCAATGTATACAAAGAACTCAAGAAGCTCATCACTAAAACACCAAATAATCTAATTAAAATGTGGGGTACAGAACTAAATAGAGAATTCTCAATAGAGGAATGTAAATGGCTGAATGACACTTAAGAAAGTGCTCAACATCCTTAGCTATCAGGGAAATGCAAATAAAAACAACTCTGAGATACCATCTTACTCCTGTCAGAATGGCTAAAATCAAAAACACCAGTGACTGATCATGCTGGAGAGGATGTGGAGAAAAGGGAACACTCCTCCATTGCTGGTAGGAGTGCATACTTGTGCAGCCATTTTGGAAATCAGTATGGTGATTTCTCAGGAAAATGGGAATCAGTCTACCTCAAGATCCACCAGTTCCACTCTTGGGCACATACACAAAGGATGCACATTCTTACAACAAGGACATCTGTTCAACTATGTTCATAGCAACATTGTTTGTAATAGCCAGAACGTGGAAGCAACCTAGATGCTCCTCAACCAAAGATTGGATGGAGAAAATGTGGTACTTTTACACAATGGAGTACTACTCAGTGGAAAAAAAGCAATGAAAAATTGAAATTCGCAGGCAAATGGATGCAACTGTGTAGGGAGAGGTCTACATACCCATAGTGCTGACCACATCCATTTGGGTGTGTTTACAGGTACATAGAACATACAGGAAATAAAAAGAGCTAGGGGGAGAAGACCCTTTCTCTATGGGTTCTGGTTGCCACCTGGAGAGCAGCGTGGGGACCTTTGGTTCTCGGCTTTCTTGTCTTCTCATGTGAATGATTTCTCTCTCAATAAAATATCATAGGACATAGCTCTTTTGTGTATCTTAGTATTTCTGCGTGAGAACTGGAGAACTCATCTTGAATGAGGTAACCCAGTCACAGAAAGACAAGCATGGTATATACTCATTCATATATATATTAGACATAGAGCAAAGTATTAACGTACAATCAACACCTCCAGAGAAGCTAGGAAATAAGGAGGACCCTAAGAGAAACATACATGGCCCCCAGAGAAGGGGAAAGGGACAAAACTCCTGAGCAAACTGGGTGCACAGGGAGGGGGAGGAGGGAGATAGGAGAAAGAGAAGGAAATAAGAGGAGGGAGAGGATAACATAACATGGGGGATCATGACGACTGAGTAGGGGGGAAGAATAGAGGAGAGCAAGAAAATAGATACCTTAATAGAAAGAGCTATTATAGGTTTAAAGAGAAATCTGGCATGAGGGAAATGCCCAGAGATCTACAAGGATGACCCCAATTAAGAATCTAAGCTTTAGGGGGCAGGCTACCTTATATGCACTTCCCCTAGATTAATGACTACCTTAAGTGCCATCCTAAAGCCTTCATCCAGTAGCTGATAAAAGTAAAGCAGACACCCACAGCTAAGCACTGAGCTGAACTCCTGAAATCCAGTTGTAGAGAGAGAGGAGTGATGAGCAAAAGGTCAAGACCATGCTGGAGAAACCCACAGAAACAGCTGACTTGATCAAGTGAGTGCACATGGACCCCAGTTGTAAAAATGGGGAACTAGCATTGGGCCCAACTAAGGCCTCTGAATGTGGGTGCTAGGTAGGAGGCCTGGGAAGTCTATGGGACCTCTGACAGTGAAACCAGTATTTATCCCTTGTACACAAATGGACCTTGGGAGCCCATTCCTCATGGAGGGATACACTCTCAGCCCAGATACACAGAGGAGGGCCTAGGCTCTCCCCCAAATGATGTGAAAGACTTGATGACCCCCCATACGTGGTGAGTGGATGAAGGGTGTTAAGGAGTTTTGGGGGATATGGGGGAAAGAGAGGGAACTGGGATTGATATGTAAAATAAGATTGTGTCAGAGGCAGATACCCATAGCTAAACAATGAACTGAACACCTGGAACCCAGTTGCAGAAAGGGAAGAGTCATGATCAACAGGGTCAAGAACAGGCTGGTGAAACCATGGAAACAGCTGGCCTGACCACTTGACCACTAACAAGAAAAATTAGAAAAGTCAAAAAAGCTCAAGGAATGAACTGTGCATTAAGTAGCTTCACATCTTTTGTTTTTGAAATGGATTCAGTATTAAAAGTTGCAAAAGAAAACTAATTTATTTTTAAAGTGCAACATTTGACAATTCACAGAGAATATGGGAATCCAGAAAACTGAAGACATATGCAATATGGGACAATTTGGGTACTGCAAATAAATGTAACAATATGAATGCTTAAAATATTTTCAGTGGCTTTAAATTTTGTGTCCTATTTGAAATAACATTTCAAACTGGAGAATCTGTTATTTGCTATTGACACAGTTTCGTGGTAGAGTGCTTGCCTAGCATGCATGAAACGTGGATTCAATCTGTTACACCTCAAACAAAAAAGAAAGAAAAGGAAGGAAAAAAGAAATACAAAAAGAAGAAAGAGAGAGGAAATAAGGAAGGATCTACCATTCATTAGAACAAACCATGTCTGTTAGTAGTAAATCCCCAGTTGAGGATCACATCCTCGTGAGGAATGTGTGAGCACTGGAGAGGTGAGGGGTGGAGGATCCCAGTCTAAAAGAGCCTGAGGTACAAAGTGAGACTTTCCCTTAAAATACGTAAGTTAATTGACCATAATTATACAAAATAGATTTCTCGTTATTGAAACCATCATGTTCAATGGTGATTATTTCTGCTTTCTTGCTGCATAATTCTAGCATTACAGGATAGTTATTAAAATTACATCATCACTAATTAAGGAGACAACAGAGCTCTTTGTGTTGTCCTAACATAACCAGTATGAATGTGTATTATTTCATGGGCATATGAAACTGACAAAATAAAAAACTAGGTCTTTGCTCTTACAGGTGGTGACTCTGAAGACACTGATGCTAAAATGTACAACTGCAGACCACCCTGGCACGCACTGCCCAGAACACTCACACTGATCTTTGCTTCCCAGCAATTGCTTCCCACTATCACATGTATTCCCCCAGAATCAACATCAGTTGTAAAAATATCTGGATTTTTTCTAATCAAAAGTATAAATGCAGTAGTTCAATTATATAAAGGGGGCATTTATAATTTTTTGGTTTTTGAAATCTTCCCATATGCCTAAACTTGGCATGAATTGTGCTCTTGGGTGCATTTGCACAACACATTATTGGAAACATTTTTGACTACCTTGGAAGGAGTTCAATAACCAGTCACTTCCTCCGACCTCCTGTAAGGCCATGTGGTTTCAAGAAGCATTTTCAGCTAAGCCAAAGGAGTGGATTTTCCCATTTAAATTGTGATTTCAAGCAATAGAGTGAAATAAAATATATTTTATGGCTTACTGAAAGTAATAATTTTAAGCCAGTGAGAGTGATTATTGTGATAAAGCTTTACACTTGCTAATGGAGGCGAGGTTTACTTTCATTTGGAAATTTGGCCCTCCAAAAAATGGTTTTTCTGTGACTGTGTGGAAATGAGTGCAGGCTTGCCATCTCACCAGATGTTTGGTAAAGTGAAGTTATGAGCCTCCATGACAAGTAAAATGTTTGTACACTATGTCTCACATAAAACACACAATGGTACACATGACCTTTTCCAAACTAGTTATAGTTGTATATGGGACCCATGATCTAAACCTACATCATCATCTTCATTATTATTAGCTTAGACATGCCCCAAACAAAAGCATAGAATTTGATGTAGCTAGTTAGTTAGAGTTTTGGTAGTAACATTTCAGAGACAAATGACAGAATTTCCTTTACTCTGCTAATGGAACAAGATGAGAGAAAAAATTTGTCTTGAGGAACACAGAACTGAACACAGTATTAAAATAGTAAAATGGGACAGGATTTTATTGTTTAAAAGTGACACATGATACTAATTCTACTCACAGGGCTGTAAGAAAACTTGTCTATGCCTATTTTATTAAATATTAATATACCAGCACCCCTAAAATGGAAAGTTCAGTTAGAGCTACTTGTCTGGAGTATCAGTGAGGACACACTTTATAAGGCTGCTACAATGGGTTCATTCACAATTATATCATTTTCATTAAATAACTAGCATAAAACTCAACTTGACACTGTTCTTTCTTTACTGTTGGAACATTCTTATAGATATAAAAGTTGTAAGTGCTTTAGCTGCAAAGTAAGACAGAGCATGTGAAAAGAAGACTTCAAACATAAGTGTGTCAAATGATTACACTTACAGAACCAGGCCTCGGGTAAGGGACTTTTCCTTCATAGAGTGACCAGTGATATTCAGGGCCTTCTTTATGTGCATATGGACCATTAAAGGCTTCTCGGATACTTGACATGTGATAGACACATATAGCATGGCCTCTAAATATATTGCTGAAAAATAAAAGTTATAAATCTAGGTGTAACTAAGAGTTCACTTAGTCAAATACCCCAATATATGTATGCTAGAATTAAAACTTGAGCAAAAAGCAATTTCTTTTTTTAAATTATTTTATTTATAATTTATGTATACATGCTCTGCATGCATACCTGCTTGCCAGAAGAGGGCACCAGATCTCACTAGTTGGTTGTAAGCCACCATGTGGTTGCTGGGAATTGTGCTCTTAATTGCTGAGCCATCTCTCCAGAACAAAAGCAATTTCTTAAAGAAAAGATATTCTAAGAATGCTAATTAATACAATATTTTAATAATGAAATTGAAAGAATTTCCATTCCTTCATTTCATACTTCCTAAACTTGTAAATGACATTAGGAGGATGGAATGTGTAATTGTAAAGTCCTATGGTGTGTTTTTGTATGTATTTGAATTGTTTTCATTTTATTATTTAATTTATTTGTCTATAATTTCTTTGAGAAAGGCAGTAGCTACAGTCTATGAGCAGCGTCAGAGGACATCTTGCAAGAATCAGTTCTCTCCTTCTACCACATCGTTCTAAAGATCAAATTTAGATTGTCAGGGTTGGCATCAAGTTCCTTTACCTGACAAGCCATCTTGCCTGTTTTCTGTCACTTAAAGAGTATTAGCCATTTGAATTGATTATTTGAAGGTAATAGTTCTATGTCATTACATCTTGAATGCAGCTAGTGTTCACCTAATCACTACACTGTTGATTTCTTCCAAATTCTGTTTGCATCTTTCCAGATTTCCTGGAAGCATTTGTCACACTTTTTAGCATGGTGTTTTTTAAATATTATAACATTTGTTAAGCTCTTCTTGAAAGTCACTGAGTTATTCAGTGATGGATATATCCGTTCAGAAGATAAAGACATTGTTGGGTGTGTTATTGGGGACATCTGCAATCACATTTAGTGAAAAGATATTGTCATAGTACCTTAACGCAGGTCCATCATTTGAAAGAAGTGTGTCATTTCATAGTCTCCATATTATGTGAATTAAAATGAATGATGTTTGTGAAGGAGCTTTAGTAAAATGTAAACTTCGTGTAAATGTATTTCCTGCACTCTGGGCCAGCTGGAGAACAGCAGTCATGTTACTGTCTTAGGATGTTAATTCACACATTTTTATAACACACCTTGAAGCAATTGGAAACACCTGTAATACTGGGCAAAACTAGACCGTCTCAGCTGAAGTGGCAGTAATACTTTGATCACCATTCTACAAGTATCAAGCTCCATGGCATGTACAGCTGGGACCTTTTTCCGCTCTCAGATTTATATATAAACTAAAAAAAAGTTGAAATCATGGAAGGAAATCATATCTTTGATTTCTCTGAATGATCCAATATGCTATCATTTAGGAGATTCGTTTTTAAACTGATCATTTTAAGGTATGGAAAAATATACAGATTTCCTCATAGGTTAAATTTATCAGTTAAAGAATTATCACATGATGCAAAAATTATTTTATGGCATAAGAAAAATGAAGTAAAATGGAGCAGTGCATTGTGGTGAATGTCAATATATATTAACTTTTTAAAATTTACATCAAAGTATAGATAATATACAGAATTGTTTCCATATTATTCTGAGGAATAAAAGGTCTTGTTAAAACAAAGTACTTGTTCAAAGAGATTTTAGGTGTTTTAACTCAAAGTGATCAGTAAAAATCAGCTGCTGAAATCTAAACGTTAGCACATTGACAATGAGAAGTGGTAATCAGCCTATCTCTGTTGAAATACTGAGGTACTTCCTTCCGAATTCTTGGTGCTATCATTTTCCTTGTGAAAGCTACTCAGGAAATTATGAATACAAACTCTCTACTCATATCAATCATAGGAATATTTCTTATTTCAAGTATCAACGCATGTATAATATTACTTTGTAGTACTCTTCCATAGATATATACAACGGAAAATGTAAAGGGGGAACTAGCATATATCTAAGCTTTAAACTTGAGCACCACATTTGACAGATGACAAGTGCATGTTCAGTGTGAATCTACATAGGAGGATGACACAAAAACAAAGGTATGAGGACTTATTCCTGACTAAGGGCTTGGGAACATTTCTTGGACTTGGGTGATAAGTATCAAAGAATGGGTCTAAACCTATGTTGGAAGGGAAAGTCATGTCCAGCAGTAATAGTGAAGGGGGGGCAACGCTAAGTACTGACAATGTAAATGCTGAGATCTGTCGAGGTTTTATAGCCATTGGAGAAGGCAGAGAAAAAGTATCCCAAAACTAGTGCTGAACAGTTATTAGAACTCTTTGAAAGACTGAATGATAAATTTTAATCAGGAAAATAAATAAAATAATTACCCTACACTTTATAGTAGAGAAGTGCTATCTTATAACCTGACCATAAAAATGCCAAATGCTTGTACATAAATAACTAAAGAGATTGGATGAGTGAGCAGTTTCAAGAGGATGATGGATGCTATGAACAAAACAATAAAGCATAGACTTCAATTGTGGCTTTGACGAATGAAGGCCAATCCAGTCAGGGGAAAGTAAGGGAAGCTGGACACTTACAAAGGACAGAGGATGGGAGTGATGATGGGGTCAGTGTCTGAGACATGTGCACCATGACAGGTGCTGCAGTGACACAATTTTTCTTTCTTAGTGATTTGTTGACTATCAACTTCTTACCTGGTAGTGTTAAACAGTCCGAATATCACTGGATTCTTAGGATCTCTGGTAGGCAACAGAAACACATCCTCTGAAAGAATAAAAGACCATTTTCTCCTTAGTATTTTAACCTTCTCTGCATGAGAAGAAACAATATTTATATGTAATGGTTCAGAACTACGTATTTTAAGACCCAGTTTCAGTTCCACAGCTGTGACCAGGACAGAAGGATGAGTCATTGCTTTGCTCTGGGTAGAACTTGTGCTGAGTGACAGAGAAGAACCCAGCAGGATCCTCTATGGGAGTGAGATGAGTCTCTGTCAGCTCTTCTGCCCTACGAGCTGACTGGATCAAAGTGAAGAGATGGAAACTTGCTTTTGGTCTGTAGAGGTCAAACACTTGCAGAAGACATTTTTCACCCTATGCCCGAGAGAGTGATAGTTGTAGAGGAAAATGTGCACACACAGAAGAGTGAAATGTAGATCCTCCAGCAATAGTTACCTAGCTCATCAAAATATGTGTCGATTCCATTCACTCCCGGTACAGAGCAAACCAGCCTTGCTTTAAGGAATGTGCTCCACTTATTCACCAGTATTCTCTGTCCCCCCATGTCATTCTGGGAAAAACAAAAAAACAAAATGGACAAATGAAATGCTTAAAGAACATTTACAAACCAAGGTTTAACATGGTGAAATGGGAAGATGGTTTTTTATTTCTCTCTCTCTCTCTCTCTCTCTCTCTCTCTCTCTCTCTCTCTCTCTCTCGTGTGTGTGTGTGTGTGTGTGTGTGTGTGTGTGTGGACATTTAGTAAAATCCTCAGATAATATTACAAATAGTTCTCTCTCATTTCTCCTTTCCTTTGACTTATCAGTGTAGAACATTTTTAATGATTATTTTAATTTTTTATTTTCACATGTGGAGAGGGGACACTGAGTATATTTAGGTGCATCATGTGTGTGCTGGTGTTGTAGAAGCCTGAAGAAGGCATCTGGTCCCAGGGCTGGAGTCCCAGGTGGTTGTGAACTGCTTGATTTGGTGCTGGAAATTGAACTGAGCTCTAAGGTAAATCACAAGTGCTCTTAGCTGCTAAGCTATTTCACCAGCCCCTTGGTGTAATACTTTAATTCAAGTGGTCTCAATATATGTCATAGTTATTACAGATACTAATATGGTTGTCTCTCCTAGAAGAAATACTGGCTTTATGATGTAGTGACTTCGCTTGTTATTTGTTGCATAACTGTCTCAAGAACTTGGATGGATAATATCTGCCCTTGGGAAAGAAACCATATGAAGCAAGGTATGGTGGCTAATGCCGGTAATGCTTAGACTTAAGAGTTAAAGGTCATTCTCAGCTACAAATGTGCATGTACATGTATTATGTGTGTATTTATTATCAAATTTCTCCCTAAATGCTGAAACAACTGTATCTTTCTGGTTTTTCTCTTTTGTTGTTTTGTTCTTTTACTATAAAATTGATCAACTGAATTTTTTGAACCAGGTATACATCACCCCAAACAGATTGTAAATAATAAAAAATTGTTAAATTAAATTTTAAAATATAATGTAATTGGGCCAATGTGATGGCTCTGAAGGTTAAGGCAACTGCAACAATGCCAGAGCATCTGAGTTCAATCCCTAGGACCCACACAACATCCATGAACACGCATGATATGCATGAGCAGTAACATAAGCATATATATATATATTCACACATAAAAATGAACAATACATATAACATTTTAAAAATAGAACAAACTTATATTTGGAAACAAATGGCAATTGTAGATTATTTCCTAACATAACTTGAAAATGAGAAAACTCATTTAAGATAAGTCTCTTTTACATTGAAACATTCATTAACAGTGAAGTTATGGACATAGCACACAGGAAGCTTGGTTTAGTAAATACCAAGTTATGAAAGTCAACAGACTACTAAAAAATATTTAAAGTAGAAGTCTACTAGAGAACACAATGTTGGCTGGATAGGGAAGAGGATTATGGATGAGGGAGGGGAGACAAATATGATCAAAGCATGATATACGACACTATAAAATGAACCAATATAAAACAAGTGTAAACGTGGCCTGGTATACACTATGACATCAGAAAGTGTAAGGACATAGAAACGCCATCCTCACCACGCACAGACGACCCACTCTGGTATAGATTGTGTGAGCACTATTCTCTGCTTCCAGTGCCTTCTCAGTAAAAAAGAAGTACATTTTGTTGTCTTCTCTGTCTTCATTATCAGGGATCATATACGAACCTACAAATTTTGGTTCTACAGACAAAACAAGTGAAAAAGTAAAAAAAGATAAATATAATGGTGTAATAACAGAGTCACCTTGATAAACGAGTTATCACCAGATTGTTACAGTCTCATCCGTTTGTGAGAAAATACAAAGTATCCTGTAAGTTATAGAGAATTTAAAATCAGATAACTATCCTCATCTTATGTCCAAATCAATAGACATTTTAAAATAATTTAAATAGAAAATTTAAGAGTCATGGGTCAAATGAATTTACTGAAGGTACAAGCTCAATGCATTATGTAAAGAATCTCTATGAAGATCTTCTCAATCTATATAAAAATGACTGTACGTGTAAGTTCCATAAAGTTTGAAAGTATATTGTTATTAATTTTTAATTCATAGAAAATCTACTAATACACCTCACTGAAGCTCACTTATTTTTAAAGTAAGAAAGTGAGGCTTTTGTGTTTAGAGACTAAAGAATCTGAGTAGTTGTCTTTTGATTGATACAGCACCAGACATTTTAAAGGGAATACGTCTGCACTCTGAAGCCTCATCAAATGCTGCAAATGATGAAAATGCTCACTATAACATGGTATTTTCCCTCCTACGTATACCATTATGTGAGAAAATATAAACTTACTCATTGTATATATGAGTATAACTCCATTTATACAGTATATAGAATTCTGCTCAGGGAGCCACTAGTGACCCTCCTAATGTACAACACGATGCTATTGAGCAAGCCAGGCACACAGTGACTGCAGCAGCAAGGACGCCAGTTACGAGTCCGTACTTTTCATGTGTTCAATTTGCTCATTTCTTTTAGCTCATGATATCTAAGAACTGCCATAAACAAACTTATTGCATAGTTAAGATAAACCATTCTATATAAAATGATAAATATCTGGATTCAAGAATGCGATAGTTTTAAAGACTATCTGTATTTTCATTATCAAAATGGCAGACTTAGCCGTGAACTGCAGGCTTGTTTTCCACTTTGATTTTCAAGCTCTTGTCTTCTCATTTCTACCTTTCAGCAGCCGCTCGTCATCATGCTCCGTACGAATATGGCCTAGCTTCCCCAGACTGCGGAAGATCGCAGAGTCTCTGGCCCAGTAGTCACTGTAGAGTCCAGTAAACAGTTCGCTGCCTGTACAGGTGCACAGGAAAAAGTAATCAATATCTACGTCTCAGTATGAAGATAGAAGCCACTGTTATGTTAAGCACAACACACTTCCTACTTTAGGCCTTCAACGCTATTGTTAAGGGCAGGAGGGATGCAGCTGTGCAGGAGCACATCAAGCCTCTTTGCCTCTCAGTTGTGAACTCTGAGCCTCATTTCCTTCCAGAACTGGAAAAAAGTAGCTCCCAAAGCCATTAGGAGAAAAACATGGAGAGCAGGGGTGCGCACTGGTGGATGCTGGGACCCATTTGGTGACGTAGAAGGAGTCATCTTGTATTGGAAAATCGCTTTCAACCTTGATATCAACCGTGTTTTATCATTATCGCTGTATCAGGTATTGCAGCACGTCAGTTAACTCAAGAGCTTCTTATGAGGCATAACTCAAACCTCAGAAATGTTATCACCTTTGAAGCATGAGGACTTGAACGCTCCTCCTCCCTGCAACCATGGAGTGTAATCAGAGTGCATCAGTGGGCTCAGGAGGCCTGTTCTGGGAATGCCTAACCTCGCTGTCCTGCTCCCTTCCAGATGAACGTCCCCGCCAAAGAAGCAAACAGTCATAGCAGATCTCTAGAAATCGGAACCTCATTTAGAGAGGTTAAATTATTTCCTTACTGCATGCCCAGAAACTGGGTTTGAAAAGCAATACAGAGATGATACTTGAAAAATACATCATTTTTTCTGTATGCATATGTTATACACATACATACATACATATATACATACATACATGTATACATGTATTTGCAAACATGCATATACATTACACACACACACAGACACACAGACACACACACACACACACACACACACACACACACACACACACACATGCAAGTGTTCACATGGGGGTGAAGCTGCAAATGTGTTTCCCGTATTGCCAGTATGTGGAAGGGAAGGGTCAAATTTGAGTGCAATTCCTCATGTATCTTCTTTCATTTTTCTTTTCTCTTTCTCTCTTGTCTTCCTTTTTTCTCTGCTTCCTTTTTTTCTCTCCTTCCTCCCTCCCTCCCTTCTTTCTGTCTGTCTTTCTTTTCAGACAAGTTCTCTCACTGGGATCTGGGGCTCACTGAATCAGCTAAGCTAAATGACCAGTGAGCCCTATGACCTCCCGTCTCTGCTTCCTCTGCACTTGAATTAGAAAGAGCAAGTCATGCTGATCTGTTTAGACAATGAGGACCAAACTCAGGTCCTCACACCTGTGTGCAATCCTTACTGACAACTCCACCATTTCCCCAGCCTCTGCTGATGCTTTTCTGAATACTGAAAATCCAGAATGTCTTTATATGTGCACACTTGTGATTTAAAGTCCTTGAAGTACCCACAGAGGCAGCTGACCTAAACAAGGGGGAACACAAGGACCCCAGACTGATGACTGAGGGGCCAGCTTGGAACTGATCCAGACACCTTCCCACCGAACCTGGGTGACAGATAGGAGGCCCTGGCAATCTGTGGGGCCTTGGAGAGTAGATCAGTATTTATTCCTGGCATACAGATGGACTCTGGGAACCCATTCCATGTGGAGAGATGCTCTCTCAACCTGGACACATGGGGAAGAACCTAGGCCCTTCCCGGGATGATGTGACAGACTCTGAAAATCCCTCATGGAAACCCTTGCTTTCCCTGGGGACCTGAGGAGGATGGAGTGGGGTGAGGGGTTGGAAGGATTGGAGGGTGGGGGAGGAGGGAAGGGAGAGGGAACTGAGAGTGACATGTGTAAAAAGTTAAATAAAAAATATGAAAAATAAAATAAAGTCCTTGATGTATAAGAAAAGTCACAGTAATTGCTTTTCTAATTTAATACGTTAATTTATGTCATCAGTTTTGGAGTTATCGCTGATAATGTTTCCAGTATAAAAATTTGACCAAAGGAATTAACTCAGTTTAAGGAAATTGGAGATACTGCTGAAAACTTTATTTATTTATTAGATTTCTTTCTGAATTTCCAAAGTTTTTTCCTAGCATAAAATCTTTAAAACTTCTTTTAAGAATTCTAATTATCTTGTCCATTTGTAAAGTATAATTTTTGAAAAAATATTGACTGAGTTACATTAAAGGTAACTCAAAAATATGTTTATTTCTAATGTGAGAAAACTACTAATTTTGAAAAACTTGTGTTATTACACCAGTTAGAAATAGGGTAATGAGACATAAATCAAACTCACATTTTAAAGAAGTATTTGTATTCTTGAAATAACCTAATTTTCATTTTTTAAAAATATCAAATATAAATGAGACACTTTTCTGTCTATAAAATCCACAATGGAGGTTTAAAAACTTTATAGGGTATAAGTAAATTAAATGTAGTCTTTTTTATATATTTATTTATTTTTAAATTTAAATTTAGATTAGAAACAAGGTTGCTTCACAAGTCAGTTCCAGGTCCCACTCCCTTTCCCTCCCCTCTTCCCGTGCCCTACCCCCAACCCCCCCATTATCCCCTCATTTCCCCAGGGAGGGTGAGGCCCTCCATGGGGTTGTCCATAGTCTGTCATTTCATCCAGGGCAGGGCCTAGACCCTCCCCCAAGAGTTCAGGGTGAGAGTGCCTCTCACATTGTTGGATGGGAGTCCAAAGTCCGTGTGTATACTCGGGATGAGTACTGATCTGCTGCCCAATGCTCAATAGGACTCCTCACTGACACCCCCACTCAGGGAGTTTGATCAGTTCCATGCAAAAAGAGGTCACTCTTGTTTAGGATGGTTACTTTAGTTTCACATTTGCAGTCTACAACAAAAGCAATGCTAGTCATTGTTATTTGTTTAAAGATTCAATTTCAATTAGGCCAACAAACCTAACTTCAAATGCTACTTTGAAACAGACTAAGTAGAAAATTACTATGTGGAAACTAATTTGATTATTACCTTTTTGCTAACTCATAATTTTGTACCCAGCACTTCAGGATTTCTGTGAAATTATCATCTTGTCTTATATGCAGGATAATAACCAAAGTCCACAATAGTTGGACAACTAGTGTAAGCAATAAAATCAGCCGCCAGCTCTAGCTGAGTGCTTTCCTGTTAGGACCATGTTCTTCGATCTTGATATGTATTTATAAACTTGTCAAACTTGCTTTTGATATTAAAGTTGCTCAAGTGAGACCATGCCACGAGACACCAGTCAGTATCCCCATGGATGCAGGGGTGGGGGGTGGGTTAACAGGACTTAACCTTGAGAGTATACGTTTTCCTAAAGCAGGCAAGAAAGGGAAAAACAAATGAACAAATCGGGGTGAAAAGTGGCAAGTGCCAAGTTCACTCCTCTCACACTTGACTTTCAATTTGAACTTTCTCAAGAGAGCTGCTGTGTTCTTGTCTTGTATCAACATACACAGAATGAGAGTTGTGATAATAAGAAAATAAAATAAAAACAAAAGTAAAGACTATATAATCAATTATAATTTAGTAAAGTTTTATCAAAACTTACTTATGCATATTTACATATGGAGAAAAGAGGATTTTTTGAGACAAAAATTCATTCAGTGGTCAGACATGTAAACCATTTCCTGATATTCAGTAAGTCCTATTTAATGGACTTCAGAATCATAAGGTCTATCATCAACTGTTATCATGGAAATACAATCTTTTTACTCCTATCCACAAATCTAACTTTAATTATTCCAAATTAGAACTTTTTTTTCTAAAGTTCTACTTGTCTTGATCAAAGGCAAACTATGACCATATCAGCCAGTAGATGGCAGCCCTAGGATAGCAAATAGGGTCTTGTCTTGGCAGGTTGTAGGCTCCAAGATAATATATTTTCAGTTTTACCCAATTTCTCCTTTTGTAGTTAGATGAAAGAAAATACTTCATAAAAACTCAAATACCTAAATGTAAACTTTATTACTTAACCTTCAAAGGAGCTTTCCCGGTGTTAAACACAGTAAGCTATGGAAACTGAACATGTTTGCAAGGCATTTTGACAAAATAATATAACTTATTACACTCAAAAGAGATCTCTCCATACAGGTAAGACTATCATCAAGATAACTCTGCACTGGAAACAAGCTAAGTGCCCAGCTCCCCATCTTCCACTTGGCCCTGAGAAAACTGCTATTGGCTTAAAGTACCGGTTACCTGTGGAAACACAGGAGTCTCATCACTACTTATTTTACTCCCTTTTGCATGGCTCCTGCCTGTTTCCTCCACAGAGCCTTCTTTAACTAACTGCTTCCACCAAGGACACCATATATGAATATTACAGCAATGGTATTATTAGTACTATGACGCTAATGATAATTTTATATCATGAATCCATAGATTCCATTTGTTTCTAGCTTTTATCCACAGTAGTTGCAGCCTTGAGACATTGATGTGATCACAGGGGTGTGTAAATAATAATCTGCTTCCAAGAAAAATGAGAAGATGATAATTCTGAGTCATAAAAACTCCATTGTAATTTAATTTTAAGGTAAAATGCGCAATAAACACTTTTCTACATAACTTCATTTCTATAATGCGATTCTATTTGTAGTTTTAATTAAAAATAATGTACCTTTAGTATTTTAGGAAACTCATCAACAATTAGTTCATTATTATATATCTTCTGAATTTTTATTTAGTCTCTGGGAATACATATTTTAACTATTTAGTATGAGCAATTCACAATAGCTTATTTTATTTTACTCAAATGTTTCTCCTATTTGTGTTTTAAATGCATGCTCTAAGATTCATAATAATATTAAATGCATCTGCTTTGTGAGTAGTAAGTGATCATCCATACTAAAAGGACTCATAGAGTGTGATGTCATCAGGTAGTTAGTCGTTTGGGCACTTTATTTTCTTGTCTTGCCAATTGACTAGCCTTAATCATTGATGTTAAGAAGGTGGTTTCTGAGGCGAAAACATAAAATAAAAGTGTGTTCATCTGCTGACACGTATGTCTGTGGCTGTATTGTCTTGGTGGCTAACCAAGACATCAATCAATACAGTCATGGTCAATTAAAATCCTAAGGGACGTGATGGAAACCGAAGCTTGGAAAGCAGGGATATTTTTAGGGAGACACTGAGTGTTTCTTTTCCTTTTTCTTTCATTTGAGGAAATAATTAGAATAAAAGCAAAGTATTCAAATAGCTCCTTGGAGACCTCCAGTCACAGCCAGACTCTGCAATAATCATGTAGACAGTGGGCATTTTTCCAATGTGAGGGAGCAGCAGTCTTGAATAATATATTCTTTAGGGACAGCAAAAATGGTAAGGGAGTAACTTGAAGTCTGTTTCTCTGCAGCTGGGGTGAAGTTTAGAATAAATATTCATTCCTAACTGCTCTTGATATAAATATACTTCATTGAACGCAAATGATTACTTATTCTTAAATGTTGTGCCACTAACAACTTGAAACAATCATTTCTCCTCAATCAATATTTATGTTTAATTCATTGAACTGGTAATTGGGGGAATATTCCCAAATATAATTTTTACAATAGTTCACAAAAAATTCAATGTTCATAGACTTTGTAGTTGTATTCACTGAAAAAGTCACATTGTGTCATAGATGTCCAAAATATTTATTTTAAAAGTATCTTAAAATTTATTATTGTGTATGGTGTGTGTGTGTGTGTGTGTGTGTGTGTGTGTGTGTGTGAATGGGACTGAGACTCTATGGCACATGTTGAGATCAGAGGGCATTTCTCTTACTGTGGGATGCATGAATCAGTCTAAGGTCACCAGGCTTGTATTGCAAGCTAACCGTCTTGCCAGACCCAAAGTAAAATGCTTCATGTTGGATAATTAGTGAAATCAAATATTTAGTCTTTGACTTGAATCTCTAATAAATGTTCTAATAAGAGTTATTGGATCCTGGGCTGGGAAGATGGCTTCGTGGGTTAGAACAGCTGCTAGGCAGGCATGGGGACAGCAGTTTGGTGCCTATGCAAAAAGCTGGTATGTCCACATACCAGCTTATGAACCAGAGCTGTGAGGACTGGAAGCCGGAGGGTTGCTGGGGCTGCCTGGCTGCCAGTCTAGCTCCAGGCAAATGAGGAACCCTCTGTCAAAGGATACAGTAGAAAGTGTTGAAGCAGAACAGCCAACACATGAGCAGGGGCACAGGCAGGCACACACACACACACACACACACACACACACACACACACAGGTGGGGGAGTGGAGTAGGGTGACAGGGACAGAATGAGAGAGAAGAGATTCAAAGTAAGTTTTCAAAAGAAACACGACACAGCAAACAGGACACAGGTTTCTCTAAACAGTTTCTCCTTTCATCTCACTATAGTGTAAGTATTTCAGGTGTGGGAGAATTACAATACTTTAGAAATTCTAACTAAAGTAATGGGAAATAGAGAGGAAAACTTAAGTAGCCATAGGATTGAAAGAAAAAGTATCAGTTAGCCTAAGGTATATTGCACTACACAGATGAAAAGAGAGTAAATCTATGACACAAAGAAAATAGTTCATGAATTTTGATTTATCCGACCACCAAATAGCATGCTCACTATTTTCTTTTTCTAAGCAAGTTAAGTGCTAAGTTTGCTCAGGCTACTAGAAAGCCACAAGGAAGAAACAAGACAATTGAGTTTAGTGTAAATTTTTGGGTGTCCATAGCTTTTAAAGCTAGGAAGTACTTAGCAGTTATTAAAACAGCTTTTGGTAGAATATTTGTGGGTACCCTGGGGGAAGAAATGGGCTAAACACACAGAAAATATTGTACTTGAGGCATTGTATTTTATGCATGGCACCAAAACGAATCAGGTCTCAGGGACATTTGAGGAGTAAGGTGTACTAATGTTTGATATCCGTTTGACTGGCTTCTGATAATGGGGAGGATGACTCCATTTGGCCATTGCTTTGCCCTTGAATTCTTTTTAACATAGCAGCTGTTACCATTTCAATTCTAAATTGGAATATAAATTTAATAAAAGCATGCATATTGAATTCACTTGCTAAATAACATTATTCAGTTTTACTCCAGAGGATCTTAAATAATGTGAATTATTTAGCTGAAATTTAAAATTTATGCAAAGTTAAGAAATAAACAGTCACGTTGGTTCACATTAATCCTAGAACTTGGGATGTAGAGACACAGGTGCATCTATGTGAACTTGAGGCCAGGTCTACACACCAGGACCAGTCTCGCGAGGGCTCCATATTGAGTCTTCAACTCAATAATTAAAGTTAATAAATACGATAAAATATTCACTGTTTTAGAAGAATATTTGAGTTGGGGAATGGAAACACAGACTAGAGGAGGGAGCATAGGGGGGGATAAATGATGCTGAAGGCCATTTGAAGACATCATAAAAAGCTCCTGCTGGAGAAGCATGCATACATATGTATGGAACCTATGCATATATCAGGAGTTATGAGAGTATGCTCAAGGCCTGTGCAAGCCCAAGGCAGACAAAATCCCAGCATGGAGGGAAGAGGAGGACAGGAAGTCACATACCTAGAGGAGGGCGTACTGACAACTGGTCACTTGCCTGTAGAAGATCACATATCCAAAAATATACGGGCAGCACAAACTGAACTTGATGAAGTTTTTTTTTAAAGGGAGGGACTGTGGTCTGAGAGGAGTTGGAGGAGGGGTGAATATCATCACAACACACTGTGTGAAATTGGGCAAAGAACTAATAAAAAACACATTTTGTTTTTCATTTTTGAGACCTTGTAGTCTTGTGAATACAGCTATCAGTGTGAGTGTTTTTTCATTAAGGTAGTCGTCATGAGAACAGTCATTATACATTGTGTGGCATGAACAAAGATATAAGGAATAATAATTAAAAGATAGCCAATCATCTTTGTGCTGGGGTCTGTGTTAGCTCAAGAGAACAGAACGTGTATGGCTATAAAATATCACATTCACATATTTTTTTCTGTCAGAGTAGCAACTCCAAACTTGCCAAACTCCAAGTCAGGTAGCCCCATTTTCTAGCTCACTCTTCTAGTGCTTTTTCAACTGAGTGAATTATTTTAACCTCCTATCATGTGAAGATCTGTGGCTCACATAGATTGTCAGGTTTCCAGTCCAGTGGCTACAGCTTTTCCACAGCAAGTAAATGATCTTTCTAAAGTACTTCGGGATGAGAAAGAACGGGCAAATATGAAGAATTTTATTTTCATTTCTTCTCTTTGGAAGGATTAGTCTGTAACTTTTGTGTTTAGCTTGGAAAGCTATTTTTTATTTGATTTCTCTTTTGAACAAATAAAACAGCCCACAGATAGCAAGCAGCTCACAGTTCACCACAGAGTGATTCAATCTAGTAGTTCAATGAAATTCACTTTGCACAGTCACTCCAGTAATATGCCCTCTTAAACACTTCATCTTTAAATTCCCAATTCCATGAATAAACATGCGCTCCAGGGAGACTGACTCTTGAGCAGCATAGATAGCTGTGGAAATGACTAGTTTCACCATTTAAACAAGATATTTAAACGATTGGTCTTCTCTTCCAAAATTTTGAGGATTCCACTGTACAGGAATGCATACTGTGTAATATCCAGTCTTCAATATCTCTCTCATAAGGGAAATATCTCAAAATTTGTTTTTTTGTTTGCCAAAGTTTTTCAGTCTGTACTCCATCCAGACATTCAGTTTATCCAATGTATGCATTTTAATTCATATCCTGCCAATTTCTGTGGAATGTCTAGCAATTATGGATATAGTATGCACTAAGAATGCCATTCCTAATGTTGTGATTACTACTGTCGAAACTGTCTAAGCAGTTCTATTTTCATTTTTAAGTTCTCTTCATATTCTACATAAACACACTACACACACACACATTTTATGTACAAATTTAAAGAGGAACTAAAGTGTTTTAAAATAGTTATTTTAAATTATGTATCCTTTAAAATACATATTTATCCTTGTCAACTTGCTCTGTGTCAGTGGCATTTTATAATATTTTAAATTATAATGCAAAGTCAAAGTTACCATGATCCAGAACCATGATCCAGACAGGGAAGTGTAGTGAGCAGAACAAAGACCTGTCAAAATCTGGAAAAACTTGAAGAAAATGGATTCTCCAGTGTAGAGTCTGATTCCAATACAGCTATTTTACTTGTATTTTTTAACCTTAATTTTAATTGCCTGTGTGTGGGTGTTTTCTCTGCCCGCACGCACGCACACACACACACACACACACACACACACACACACACACACACACAGAGTCACTGTTTAAGTATTCACAGACTTGTTTTTCATGATGAGACTTAGGAACTTATGGCCTCTTTAGTTACTTTAGAGTCAAATTGCCAAAGACAGAGAAACTTGGAATTCAGCATCGTTTCTCCAGATACCAGCTGATAGAGTCAGGAAGGCAAAGTGTATAAAGAAATGCCAAAGAAGGCACGAAAGCTGAAAAACACATTTCAAACCACCATGGTTACCACCTGATGTCTGTGGCCAAGATAGTTACCAACTAGAGTCGAGACGAAGGAGGAGCTGGGGTCGAAAGGACATCTGCCCCTTCCTCTCTCAGATCTGTGTGGCTCCAAGTGAAACATGGGGTCCTGGAAAGAAAACAGAAAGACACTGTGAAGGTGGCAATTCTGATAAGAGTTCAATTGTTCAGATAAAATATAGCAAAGCTAGATTACTAATAACCTACATGGGTCTCATCAGGACCTCAGTGACAGCATAATATTTAGTTACAAAATGAGTTTTATATGTAAGCACAGGGGCTCGGAAGATCCTAGTAGAGGCTCATTGTTTTCAGAGAATATGAAGGGTTGAGAGAAATTAGCCGGTTTTATCAATCAGTACACATCAGATAAATAATTCAAAGAAGAAACATAATGGAAAAAGGTACTGAAAGAGAATCAATGACAAAAACAGAATTGGGGTTTATATACCTAATATGCCTCATCAATATTTAGAATAATAATAAAATTTACAACCAATAGTTTAGAATATTTAATAATTTTCATCATATATTATTTTTAAATATTCAATGTTGACATTAAAAATCATTAATTCATAATTGCTTCAAGGTACATGTATGGGTTACTGTCATATCCTATTCAATATCTCAATTTTAATTTTTGATATTTCTTTTCACAGTAATAAGCTGTCATTTAAAACGATTTCCACAAATGTACTATTATTCTATTGGCCTCTATTTCATGTGTGTAATCACAGAAAATTTCTCTGAATGTTCCTAGATTTCAAAATTCTCTCTCTCATATATATAAATGTTAACCTCCAGCAAGTCTGCAATAAGTGCTTTGGATACAAGAAAGGCATTTCGGGAAGCAGCAATAATAACCACTATGAAAAATTTTGTAAAATAAAGTAATTGGCAATAGAACATTTCTGATGCTGACAGTGTTCAGTCAATTGACAACCATTGAGCCACATGGCTAGGCAGCTGAGTGCAGAGTTGCATCTGCTTCTCTTCAGGCTGATGGTGATCAACCAGTCACCCCATTACATCCCACTTCCTGTCCTATACTTCACCTCTTCTCTCTGACTGATAGTCTAAAGTGACTATCCTAACTTTTACATTCCAAAGCCCTTCCAGGAAATGCTGAGCTCATTTGACCCCTATGACTATCTGTTCCTGTCTTTAAATTGGAAGCATTTATAGAATAGCTCAGAGGTGTGGCTACACTACCATGCTCTGCAGTGGTGTGCTCTTGTTCAGCTACTCTACACAACTTAGAAGAGGGGACGGGTGGCAGTAAATGGGAGATGCTTCTCCTACGTTTCCATGGATAATAGCTTTCAGAGGTATGAGAAAAAGTTGGCCAGTTGAGACAGAATTGTAGATCTCACAAACTAATGTTAATGCTGAGAGTTTCACATAAATTTGTGAAGCAAACCCAGAGCATTCCATGCAAGAGAGTAACTTCGTGAACATAGTTCTTGCCTGCTCCTCCGAGTCATGCCACTTGGTGAAGTATTTGAGAAAATAAACAACAAAGAGCACATATATTTTGAAGGTTATAGAAAACCATAAAAAGTAACCATTGGGTATTTGCTAAGGTCAGATATCTTCATAGCTTAAAAACTTATCTTTTACTCTAGAGTTGCTAATGAGGTTATTTAACCAGCAGATAGCATTAGACACCAGAACATAAATAATGAAAGAGCAGGTGTAGGAAGAGCCATGCTGATTTATTCTAGGAAGAATCATATAGTGAGAATAAACTTTTAAGTGAGTGAAAGAAATAGAAAGTGCAAAAGAAATTGTCATCAAGAGATTTCTAGAATTTGTGGAACAGGAGCTGCATGGAGGAAATGAAGTCAATATTTCTTTAAAAATTCACAGATTTCCCTAGTGCAAATCATCACTTAGGCTCCTTGAAGCTAACATTCAACTGTGAAACTCAATATGTGTCTGAGGTATCAAATTTGTGATAGATTCTTCCCTTCATAAAGATAAACTGGGTCAAAAGGAATCTAATTCCTCTAAGAAGCCTATAGCCATGAAATTTTGAAAATAATTTGGTTAATGGATCATCATCCTGGAATGTCAGTCCCATGTGAAGCACGTCAGTGCAGCATGTACCTGTCATACACTAATGACACCAAATTCCACACTGAGAACACATAAACATTAACAATGAATCCCAATATGTCCTTAGATGTCAATACCTAATGTCAGACAACACTCAGGGTACCTGAACTAAAAACTTCCCCCCTTTCTCCTGGAGATTTCATGTTTATTTGAACAGTGACTAAAACTGGATCAACAGTGTTCATTTAAAAATAGTAAACAAATTAAATTTTATTTTATTTCATCTCTTTAATAAAATCTTATATTCTTGGTATCCTATGAAATAATCTATCATTCAATGTTAAAAGTAAGTAAGCTTGCAACTGCAACTTCTACTTTTCGGGCCATTAATCAAAGTGTCATTGTTGCTTTTGAGAAAATTTTTGTTTGTTTGTTTGTTTGTTTGTTTTTTGCTTGCTGCTCAGAATGTGGGAAGTGTTCTTAGATAACAAAAATATGAGTGCTACCAATATTCTTTATGTTAATCATGTCTTTAATAATAATAATATATCTGCTTTTAACTTTTTCTTGAGCTACTGATTTAGATGAAGTGGTAACAGTATCTTCACTAGTTTTATGTGGCTAGGGCTATTTAATGTCTTTATTAAATACTTGACAGCAAAAGCAAGCAAAGGACTAATTTATTAGAATGCTCTCAGGACTGAAGTATGGCTCTGATCATAGGCAATGTTGTCTGAAGTCATTATTTCAGTACCCCATCGGGTACTGATGGTGTCATCCCAACCTTTCGGCTGCCTGTGACAAATGTATGGGTGGCTGTCTGACATTCTGCCTAAGCAAGTTATCTGTAGTCACAAGCTTTCTGACAGTTTAGAGCAATTAAAAGTTAAAGCAGGAATATGTCAGACATAAAATTGTCACATGAAAGTCAATGATGCTTTATGACATAAAACAATTTCAGGGTGTGGTTAAGGCTAAATAACCCCAGAGAGAGTTTGGTTCTTTGACGGACATGCAAGAAAGAATCTGTTTAAATGCATCAGGCTGCTGATAAGAAGTATAAAGTTTCTAATAAATAAACCAAGAGAAAGATAATTTAAGAAGGCTCATTCCATTGGCGCTACTATTAATAGAAATGCCGCAATTTTGTTTTCAATTTGATACATCTCTCAGGCTTTTCATGTGTGTCTTCCAAAATAACATAGTTAAATTCAATTTGCAGTAGGCGTCTCAATCTCTTTGCTCTAACCCAGTCACAGACACTGTAACAGTGAAAAAAAAGAATAAAAATGGAGACTCAGAACTCTTATCTTAATTGCTAGACTACAGAAGATAATTTGCAGATGGTAGGTATCAACTTTAGGATTTTGAGATGTAGAGACTACCCCGGTGACCCTGGGGTATCTACTATAATTACACAGGCCCTTACAGAGGTGATTTGATGATAAAAAGAGAATTAACCAATGAAATTCATGATAGGGAAGGCTTTGGCAATGCAAGAATGGGGTAGCACCAAGGTACACTGGTGATCTCTAGAAGCTGGTAGATCCCCACTGGGCAGTCCTTCTGGAATCTCTATTTTCACCTAACAGGGTTCATTTTTGGTTTTTCACTTAGAGAGCCACTAACATTGTGATTTCTGCCATGAAACCCACGACTATTTGCCTGTCTTCTTGCTCCGCTAGGCTCTGTGCTCTAAGAGCTAGTCCTCATAATTTTCTTTACACCACGCACATTGCAAATCATAACAATAAAACCCTTTCTTAATAAGGTCTATGTCACTGTCTGTTCAGACCTTCAAACATCTTTACTTCAGTAAGACATTGAATTCTGTGTTTTTCCAGAACTATTGTTTACCCGTGCTTTCCCAATGCTCCGCTGACCTTGGTGATGTCTACAAACTAGCCTGATGCTTCCTGTTCCTGCAGTATTCTGACCTGGAGGCCCACTAACTTCCCCCACACCTCAGGTGCGCCTCTGTGACATCCTGTGCAATAGTCCACATGCTCTATTGGCCTATCTTAGCATCTCCTCCCCAAACTCTTCTAAAAAATTACCCACAACAGGAAAAGTATTCCTTGACCTACACAGTGTTCAAGGTTTGGGCACTTTATTTTTTTAAAGATAACAAAGCTTTCCTTTCCCTCCTGTCTGTCTGTCAGCCCTCATGTCTTTTTGTCCAGCATTCTCTTATCTGTGTGTCTAGCTTCCATGTTATTAAGCCTAACCTCATAGTGACAGCTAGAAAATATCATGAGTGACTATTGATACCCAGTTCTACAGTAAAATAGGGGAGTCAAGAAGGAGAAAATAGATCAGTAGACACTAAGTCACAGTTAGATGGAAGTGGTAGGCTCTGGGATCCTATTGCCTATAGGGACTAAAGATAACGCTGATTTATCCAAGAGTTCGACAAAGCTGGAAGAAAGAATTTTGAATGTTCTCACCATAAAGAAACAATAGGTATTTGAAGGAATATACATCTTTATCCTACTTGGTACATTTCACAATTATGGCCATATTGAGGCATCACAGAACATCCTTCAGTATGTCTAATTTTACATTTTATGTACATTAATATTTTAAAGAACAATAAAGTGTGTGTGCAATTCATCTGCACTCAAGAAAGAAAAATCAATGTTAATAAAGAATTTGATTTAAAATTTAAGATATTGGAAATGAAACTGTCACATGATTTTGGGAAAGCCCATGAAACTGACAAGTATCTTGTTTCCCTAGCAATTCCCTTTAAAATCCTTTTGAGCAACCATTTCTTGGGTCAGCAGACAACTTGATACCTTATACACAAAATCAGCATTCACCATTTGTATTCATATATAAAAGATGCTTTTTCAAGTTTTCTGCATGTTAATGGCTGAACCTGGTACAGGGATGGAACCACACACAATGATAATTTCTCATCATCAAATTTAAATACACATTTATATTGTATATTCATTGTCCCTTTCTTACCTTTCCTGCCTGTTCCATGGAACCCCTTTTTTTCATTCCTTTAAAGTTTATCACTGCTTTCTGATAGGCTA